GAATAATCTTGAGTAACAACATTTAACTCCCATTCGTCCTCTGATAATGCAGATTCAGGGGATGAGGACCTATAATCTCTTACAGAAATTGATTCAAACACTACTGGAAAATACTGTGGTGTAGGTGAGTCTGGAGATAGGGGTCTACATTCATTAATGGACCCATTTGACTGTGGAGAAGACCCTCTAATGTCTTCCAAAAGCATGGCAGAATAAGGTGACATGGGTCTCCATTCAGGCAAGGAGTCTGCGGAAAGTGGTCTTTTGTCAGTGTCTGATAAAATTGAATCTGGGGAATCTGGTCGATACTCTATAGTTGCTAATTCTTCAAGGTAAGGTTCGTATTCTGCATTCTCAGAGCACAGGGATTGAGGTGAACATGATCTAGACCCTGTTACTTGCAAACTATTTTGAGCGAATAATACTCTGAATTGAGGAACAGGTGAATCAGGGGACAGGGGTCTAGTCTCGGTTTCTGATAATATAGACTGAGGAGAGTCGGATCTTTGCTCTGGATTAAGGTCAGAAGGACAACATTCATTTTCAACTACCAAACTGACTGATTCTGGAGAGGTTGGTCGGGAGCCTGTAAATGGCATGATGAATGTGTGTGTGGCCGGTGTGAAATCAGGAATAGGTGAATCAGGGGACAGACGTCTGTTTTCATTAATTGATGTGATTGATTCACATGAGGACCTTCTAAGGTCAATCATAGAGTCCTCAAATACATCTGAATCCCATTCCTCCTCTGATAATGCAGATTCAGAGGATTGTGATATGTAACCTGTTACTATTGTTGGTTCAAACTGATTGGTATAATATTGATATATTGGAGAATCTGGAGATAAAGATCTAGAGTCCGATCTCTCTTCATTTATAGATTCTGTTGATTCTGCAGAATAATCTTGAGTAACAACATTTAACTCCCATTCGTCCTCTGATAATGCAGATTCAGGGGATGAGGACCTATAATCTCCTACAAAAATTGATTCAAACACTACTGGAAAATACTGTGGTGTAGGTGAGTCTGGAGATAGGGATCTAAATTCATCAATGGATCCATTTGACTGTGGAGAAGATCCTCTAATATCTTCCAAAAGCATGGCAGATTGAGGTGACATGGGTCTCCATTCAGGCAAGGAGTCTGCGGAAAGTGGCCTTTTGTCAGTGTCTGATAAAATTGATTCGGGGGAATCTGGTCGATACTCTATAGTTGCTAATTCTTCAAGGTAAGACTCAAATTCTGCATTCTCCGAGCACAGCGACTGAGGTGAACATGATCTAGATCCTGTCACTGGCAAACTATTTTGAGTGAATAATACACTGAATTGAGGTACAGGCGAATCAGGGGACAGGGGTCTAGTCTCGGTTTCTGATAATATAGACTGAGGAGAGTCATATCTTTGCTCTGGATTAAGGTCAGAAGGACAACATTCATTTTCAACTTCCAAACTGACTGATTCTGGAGAGGTTGGTCGGGAGCCTGTAAATGGCATGATGAATGTGTGTGTGGCCGGTGTGAAATCAGGAATAGGTGAATCAGGGGACAGACGTCTGTTTTCATTAATTGATGTGATTGATTCATATGAGGACCTTCTAAGGTCAATCATAGAGTCCTCAAATACATCTGAATCCCATTCCTCCTCTGATAATGCAGATTCAGAGGATTGTGATATGTAACCTGTTACTATTGTTGGTTCAAACTGATTGGTATAATATTGATATATTGGAGAATCTGGAGATAAAGATCTAGAGTCCAATCTCTCTTCATTTATAGATTCTGTTGATTCTGCAGAATAATCTTGAGTAACAACATTTAACTCCCATTCGTCCTCTGATAATGCAGATTCAGGGGATGAGGACCTATAATCTCCTACAGAAATTGATTCAAACACTACTGGAAAATACTGTGGTGTAGGTGAGTCTGGAGATAGGGGTCTACATTCATTAATGGACCCATTTGACTGTGGAGAAGACCCTCTAATGTCTTCCAAAAGTAAGGCAGATTCAGGTGACATGGGTCTCCATTCAGGCAAGGAGTCTGCAGAAAGTGGTCTTTTGTCAGTGTCTGATAAAATTGAATCTGGGGAATCTGGTCGATACTCTATAGTTGCTAATTCTTCAAGGTAAGACTCAAATTCTGTATTCTCCGAGCACAGCGATTGAGGTGAACATGATTTAGACCCTGTTACTGGCAAACTACTCTGAGAGAAAAATCCACTAAATTCAGTTACAGGTGAGTCAGGAGATAGTGGTCTGAACTCATTAACTGATGCTATTGATTCAGGAGACAATGGTCTACACTCAATTGCTTCAAGCGTGTCATCCAGCTCAAGAGATTCTGAAGATATGGGTCTAAATTGATCATGTGACTCAGATGAAAATGGTTTGCCTTCACATTGGAACATTGCTGGACTTTCAAAAGTCAGTTGTATCTGAGGTAAATCCTGATTATTCACTGTACACTTGACAGATGGGTTTTGTTTAAAAGAATCATGAATTTTGGATTCTTTAGAAGATGGATCATGTAAAACTTCAGCTTTTCCAACAGCCGAAGCAAGTGACTTAGCCATAACTTCTCCTAAAACAAACGTGGAGCAGAATGTCTTGCCCTTGTAGTGTGGATCAAATATCTTAGCAATACGATTTCTAAACATAGCTTTGGACATAACGGTATACGGTGGTTTTGGCAATTCACTAATGCTTTGTTCCTCATTGTATAGTGATTCATTGGGCTCAACAGCTAATATTTTTTGAGAGTATGATTCCTCTATTGGCTCACCATCAAACGTAACACTTTTTACTATAACCTTGGATAAAGGAACATCTTCAGGCTCTAAAATGAAAGATTCTGGGGATTCTGGTCTTGGTTCGTAAAGCAAGGGCTCACACTCCGAATATTCAATATCAGATGTTTCTAATTCAGGAGATGAGTCTCGAAGGCTCTGAAATGTGTTGAAATTAAAGTGCAATGTGGTTCTATATACAGGTACAGGTGAATCAGGTGAAAGGGGTCTGTGTTCATTTATTGATGTAAATGATTCAGGAGATGATAGTCGTGTTTCAGGTTGTACTTCTGATACTTTTTTGTTTTCATTGTCTGAGAGGCCTGACTCATCTGAATCAGATCTACACACTTCAGCAGGTATGAAACACTCCAACACTGTTTGAGTAAAGCTGGGAAGAGGAGAATCAGGAGAGAGGCATCTCTGCTTATTAAAAGATCCAGTTGATTCAGGGGATGATGGTCGACTTCCAACAAGACACTCTACAGATATCAGATCCCAGTCTATGTCTGAAACCTCAGACTGAGATGATGGTGATCTATATCCTACCATGAGTGCTGAAGAGTCATTTTGCACGTCTGTTGCAAAACAAGGTATTGGGGAATCAGGGGAAAGTCCTCTATATTCATTTACAGATGCTGTTGATTCTGGAGATGATGGTCTTTTTTCAGTCAAGAATAAATAAGGAGATGGAGTCCGGCTTTCAAAACGCACTTCTGTGGATAGTTCCCTATCTGAAATGTCAGAACTGATGGACACAGGCGACCAAGATCTATTTGATTCAGGCGATAATGATCGGGAAAAAATTGCAGAACCAGGTGAAATTGGCCTTTCTGTGTCATCCGTCACCAGCAAATAAGATGCTCCTGGTGTATCTTCTGTAAATCCTGCAAGAGGGACAATTCTTTCACCGGGTGCAGGGAATGTTTTGTATTCTTCAACATTTATTGGAAATTCATTTTCAAAAGCAGTTGGCAAAGGTGTAGCTGGCCTAAAATCAGGCAATGGAGAGTCAACAGAGAGAAGAGTGCAGTCATTCAGTGAAGTTACAGATTCAGGGGAAGAAAATCTTAATTCCGCCATTAATATCCATGAGTCTGTTGAAGATGGTCTATAATCAAATGGTATTGGTGAGTCTAAAGGCACGGAGACCACTGATTCTGGCGACGATGATCTATTTTCAGATGAAGTTATTCCAAAGTTGTCAACATACTCAAACTCTGGTGAGCTTAGCTCAACTTGGGATGTTAAAGATACCGGTGTAAGAGGTCTACACGTCACAACTTCTACTGAGCTAGAGATGGAATATGTATTGTTTGTGAATTTACCATCGGTTTGTTTGTTTGGAGTATTTGGTATGGTTATTTCAACTCTAGCTTCTGAAGAACCAGAATCAGTTATTGGAAGTGATACTATTTGTGGCTTCTCAGTTACTGAATCAAGTGACATTTGGTTAAGTGTAGGGGTAGTGATCTTCTCTGTAATTCCACTTTCGAGTGCAGCAGACATGCTAAGTTGTTGAGGAGGACTGGAGATTGCTTGAGGTAAGCCTTGTACTCCTTCAGTAGACAATTCTGTGAAGCTGATTGATTGGTTGACATCAATATTTTTGGAAACATCTGAAGACTCTCTACAACTTACTTCCTCCACAGAAGAAATCTCATTTTTAGGGGACTTACTTTGGTAACTTTCACCAAAAAGGGTTCTATAGAATCTGTCAGAAACTTCCTCAACGTGGCGCTTTATATAGTCCTCACTTTGACTTGGTTTCTTTGTAAGTGTATCCTCGTGTTTAATTGGTGATGTAGATACAGTTTCCGACTTTTCACTTGATGGAGATGTAAATGATTGAATTGTACTGGAGACAGAGGTAATATAATCTTCAGAATCTTGCTTGAGTTCCACATTCAACTCACTGAAATCTGGTTCGACACTCTCTGATTCCAAGAGTGTGTGCCCAAAATCTGACAGGGTTGTCCGTTTGTACCTTTCCATTGAATTTATGGGTGGAAGATTCTGTTCATCATCCTGTTGGGTGGAGACTGGGATAAACTGACCCCCAGTTGCTCCTAACTCTTGGAGAGGATCATCCACAGTTTCATGTATATTGCTTGATGGTTCGTTGGGAATAGTACCAGCTTTGTAAACTGTGTCATAGACTTGAGACTGTAGTCTCCAGGGAACAGTCTTGTACAGGGTAAAGAAAGGACTTACTTGCTTGATAGTGCCTGGGAATTGTTGCCGCAGTTCAGCCATATGAAAACCACTATGTGTTGAGGCTCCGACCACCCTGACGAACACAGAATCAAAACTTAATATACTTTTAATAAATTTTCAATTGGATAGGACGGGAAGAGAATGAACTTACTCTGAACCCATTTCCTTGTCTATCAACAACCTCTCTTTCTGTGAATCATCGAGGGAAGACCGATTGCAGGAGAGATCCTCAACAGATGCCACCAGAGGCCCAAGTTCTGATCCTCTTTGAGGGACCTCTGTTCGCCGGTCCGGTCTGGGGCTGTCCATGTCCTCCTGTAGCGCTGAAAAACCTGCAGAGGCCAATACAGATTCTGTTGTACAGTTGTAAAACTATTGTAAAAGTATTGTAGTGAATCATCAGCTTCTGTAATGTGAGGAATAAGAATTTTGATGGTCCCTTCCCTAACTTTGCAACTATGTCAACTAACTCTCATTAGAGTATTAGTAGACTGTCTGCTTAATATCAGCCAACTCTTTATTGTGATGCTCCACCAACAGACACTCTACTGACTATAAGTCAACTACATGTCAACTTATTCTATCCCTAACCTTACCAGTCTACTAATACTCTGAATGTGTTAAAGGGATCATCCAAATAAAGTGAAACCTTATAGGTGAATGAACACCAACCTAATATGCTTCAAGATATTGTCCTCATACATACCTTCACTATGATCCAATGATATGGTTTGCTCAATTTCTGCATAGGTGTGTGATGACTGGTCTTGACTGGACTGGATGATTTTTGTTTCAATGAGATGCACAATGTCCATTCGATTTATTTTTGTAAGTGTCTTCATCAAAGTGTTCTCTGCTGTTAAGTGGAGACGTGTTAGTCATACTTGTGATACTAGTGATGCCTGGTCAATAAAATGTCATAGCACGCATTTCCTTATTAAAGCAATCAATTTACAACAATGGCAAGTAATGTGCCAAAAAGGAAGAGAAGATAATTAAAGCTGCACTGCAGAACTTTGGTCTCTCTTTTTCCATAAAATTTAAGCAAAGTTGCACGTAACTTTTTATATATATATATACATTTATATAAATAGTATTTATTTTACATCAGTTGTGTTTTGGCACTGCTCTTCAGCGTGGATGAATATAATGGTTATCAAATGGTTTCAGGTGATAATTTCAGAGCAGATTTGTCATTTTGCACCAAGACGGCATTAAGATATTCCCAAAAAAGGGGGAAATATGTCTTCTGAGCTAGAACAGTATGTACAAATTCTGACGCTGTGGTTTGGATCTTGTTTTTACACTGGCTATGTCGCATTTCCTTTTTAATTGCAGACTCTCTGTAGTTCAAGGTTTTGATGACTCCACAGACGTCAATAAGGATTGCAGTTTATAATTGTCCATGTTCATCACAAACTATGCGATTATTTCAAGTTTTGGACACTCTTTTTTATAATGTACTTGCTCAATTGTGGAATTTAGTTTATGTTCCATTATGCCAAGTTTTTAATGTAATTGATGAGTTAGTTGAATTTCTAGTCTGAAATGACAAAAAAAAAAGATTCCAAAGGATGCTGCACCCCTGCTGAATAATCCAGCAAAAACCAGCATAAATTTCAGCATTCAAAACATACCTTATGCTGGTGACCAACAATGCTGGATTTGTCATTAGGGACATTGGTGGTGGCTGACGGGTAATGCTGAAATAATTATTTGAAGTGTACTGATCTTTGATTTAATAGTGCTTAGTATATCCGGTGAACAGACCAATGCAAATTCATTCAAACTAAGGGAAAAGACATGATCAGCAGATCTTACCTGTAGCATTTTTGCCATCTCTTTCTTTCCATAGCCTTATGAGTGCATGGCTTTGGTCTTGTAGAGAATTTGGATTCTCATTTCTTATTTGACTGATCTGCTTCTCACTGAATTCGAGCTCTTGAGCCAATTCTGTTTGAATAAAATCACTTCGGTAATGAGTCACACATTTAATTCAGGACAACAAAGTATCCGTATGAAACAAAAGTGCCCTTACAACTGCAATGCAATATGTTTAAGGTTTACAATAATAAAAAAGTAGGCATGCCAACTATTGCAAAACAATGCAACCATTACATGGATGTATCCCAACTCCATAAATAATTCTACCATTTTAACTAAGTATTGTACCTTTCAAAAATGTCTGTCTAGAGCAGAGGTTCCCAAAAAAAAAACAAGAAACCTCTCTGTACTTAAAATGTACTTAAAATATCTAAGCTCTCTGCTCACCATAACCATCCAGAATTCCCAGTTAGGGAACCATTGGTATAGAGGTTAGCAGCTTACCTGACCAGCTGAAACCAAGGTGGTCTGCTATTACCGCCAGACGACCTTCTTTCCGATCCGCCTCATCCTGTGGATCTACTGCAAATTCCAGCAAAAGACATAAGCACACAAATCTAAAACTAGAAGTCAATACAAATAATTGTTTACAACACTAAGTTAAATAAGGTCACTGGCTTTCTCGTGTAAAAATATATATATTATTATAATTATCTATTATTAAATCAACATTTGTAAGCAAATATGCTACAGAAACCATTATCAGATTAGTTTCAATCCATGAGAAAAAACGAGGTAAAATATCAACATTATGAATAACTGTCCTAGGATTTGTGAACATTATAAAATGTAATATCAACTGCACCTCACAACTGAGTTAATTTTTGCAGTAAGTGAAAAAACTCTACTAATACTCCACTCTGCATCTGGTTTTATGTAAGAGACTTATGTCAGATAGAAGGAAAAGAGACAGTCCCAAACACCAAAGAAGCACCACAAAGAGAAGCATTAGTTACAATACAGAGAAGCAGCACTTTCATCACTGAGGTGCTGAGGCAGATGAGAAAGAGAGAATGGGCCCCAAGAGATGGGGGATACCTTGACTTCGGACTTTATCAGCAGGGATTCGTTCCATCTGCGTCTCAACAGGGTTGTCCCATCTGGGCCTAATGACCAAGGAATCCTCAGGGAAAGGCATTTGCATGTCAAGAAAAGGTTCACTCTCTATTACCGAGGCATCGGGCGTGCTGCTCTCATCATCGGATAAGGAACCCTGTTTGTCTTTCTCTGCCTGAGCCAAACTCTCCACTACCTTAGCTGCCTCATGGCTAATCTCTTGGGAAAAGGCAACAGACTGTTTGCTTGTGTCAGTGGGCAGGGCCTTTTTTGGTTTTGCTGGTGTGGAAGATTGAATTGGCTGACCAGGCTTTCCCCTGACTGGTAGTCTTGAAGGAGGTGTCTTAGTTGTGCTGGACAGGTCAGTGCTTGTTGAACGTCTCTGGTCCTTTTTGGCTGGTTTCTTGGTGGAATCGCTTTCACAGAAGCTCTTGGCTTTGGAAGACTTTGTTAAACTGGAGGTTATGGACGGGCCTGTCTCAGTGTCCGATTTTCTCCTTGTTTGAGGTTTTACGGGCAACTTTGACTTCTTATCCTTGGGAAGTTCTACCTCAGGCTTGAGGGAGCTGGCCTTAACAGGGATTCGGGATTTTGGTTTCTCCTCCTCTTTGGAGGTGGGCATATCTTTTCTAGTCTTAGATGATAGAGAGGCTGCAGTGTTACTTTTAGAGACAAGTTTACTTTTAGATTCTGTCTTTTCTGGGATTTTGGTTTGTTCTATAACTGAGTGCTGATCATCTGGGCGGGAATCTGAGAACTCTTGGTTCTGTTGGGAATGAACTGATCTAGTAATAGTTGACACTGCTGTCTGAACATCGACTATGACCATATCAGAGTAAGCAGGATCAGATATTAAACGTCCCTCGTCTGATTTAATCTCTGGCACTGTTTGGTCCTTCTCTGAGGTTTTAGACTTTATAACATCTGACTTTGTAGCTGCAGCCAGATATACCTCAGCAGGAGAATGTACAGATAAATCTGCAGGCTCATTAGAAAGGTCATTCTCCTCCTCTGGTTTTATCTGCAAAGAGACGTTACAACCAACCTCATTCTCAGCCTCACTGGATGCTCTACCAGGTCCACTCTCTCCCTCTTGAGCTATGACTTCTTCAACAGGTTGCTCTATTTGGTAAAATGCAAAGCCTTCCTCCTCGTAACTCCTTTTAGTCATGTCTATCGCACCACTTCTTGTCATCTCAAAAAGTTTTCCCTCTTGGAAGAGGAAAGGGTTTTGTTCACTTGTTGGTGTACCCTCCTCAGTGGGTGTCCTTGCTGGTGTCGTGTCTGGAGTCGCTCCTTGGGAAGGCCGATCTACGACCAGACCCAAGACCTTTTGCTCTTCCTCTTTGACTCTTGCTGCAAATAAATCGTCATCTTCTCGCACTGAATTCCAGGCGTCTGTCTCTGCTTTTGCTGTAACTCCTCTAGATTCAGTCTTAGGAGGTTCCTCCTCAGCATCATCTTCCTCTGTGTCATCATAAATACATATTTCTGGTTTAAATGTTTCTCTTGTTTGTCCAATAATAATTGGAATAGAATCAACATCTAGGCTGCCACTACAAATATCAACATAAGATGCCCCTGTATGCCTCATGTAATCACCTTTAATCTCATCTGTTGCATTAGACTGTTCCTGACTAGGCAATATGTAATCGACATTCTGGTAATTGGCCGCCTCGTTCTGCATTGCATCTGCTTGATTTCCTTTAGATCTTTTTAAACTTTGCTCTTTTTGTTCATCGGTTATATTTTCAGCCAGATTGTTGCTGTTAGAGGCGGTTTTATTTAACTGTGCTAATTCTGAATCAACATATTCTTTGTCCTCAGATTTCTCACTATGAGATTCTCGAAGGTGTGGTTTTGTGTTATGCTTTTCTGAGACAGACTGAGGTCTCCTCATTGCTGATTCAGCTGAAGATGCCATGCTGTGCTGAATGTCCTCAGATGTTTGGGGGCTCTTACGTATACCTGCTGGAAAAGGAGAGGGAGGTTGTACTTTAATGATTGGTTCAACAGACTGTGCTATCTCTGATACTTGGTTGAGTTCAGTAAACCCAAACCCATCATCCACAGAGGATGTTTCATATTTGGATGTTAGCGCAAACAGTTTGATGCTCTCATCTCCTGCATCAGACGATACCAATGTCTGAGAAGATTCACTATCTTTTCTATTGTCCTTTTTGTCTTTTTCATCTTGTTCCATCTCATCAAATGTTTTTATTTTGGCAGCCATTTTAAACATCTCTTCCTCTGGAGTAATTTTCCTCTGTGTCAGGCCACACTTCAACTCATCATCTTCTACTGTCTCCTCTGGGATTACGGATGGCTTAAAGGGAACAATCAGGACCATGGGGTCTGGGGTTTTGGGATTGACCTCATAACTTACCTCTTCAGAACTTGGTGTGTCAGGGGAGAGAGGACTCTTACCCGAACTTGTCATCAGGGACGTCTGCTCACAACTGTCATCGTCCGCATTACCCTCCTGTTCTTTGAGCAATCTACTACGCAAACTCTCTGGGGGGATTCCAGGGGCTTTGGAGGATGTCAGGGGGCCTGTGGTCACACTGGGTTGTTCTACTGTAGGTGGAAAAGTCAGGTTGGTTTTCATCTCTACGGGGCTGTTTTCTAAAGAGTCACAGCACGGGGATTCGTTTGTTGGACTAGGCTCGATAGAGTCTGGGGTTCTATGGGAAGAGTTGTCTTCCATCACGGGACTACCTTCTAAAGAGTCTTTGTGGCTAATGGTAAAAGAGTCATCAGCTACTGGACTAAGGGTTTCTGAATCTTGGTGTCTAAGAGGCAGCACTAAACCACCATGATCCTGTGTAGCTGCCCTTGAGGCCAGAAAGTCAGAAGAGGTTGGTGTTGGTTGATCGTCAAAGGATTCCTCATCGCTCAAAAAACTCTCTAGCGTTTCAGAGCCTCTTTTAGTCAGTTTTCGAGATTTAGGTGGCTTGAATGACACAGAAATAAAGTCCTTATCAACAGAAGTCTTTTCATCCCCAAAGTTCACCCCCCTATTCCTATGAGGAATGGACATGGACTCACTTTTTGTTGGCTCATCCACTGGATGATGAATTGTAGCCTGTTCATTAGTTGCCTTCATCTCGGTAGAAAAGGAGATTTTACTTGTCTTGACCTTAGGGGTGACTGCTTCTGATTTTGAGGACTTTGCAAGTATAGACTGGGCTGTTTTTTTTGGTGATAATGAGAGGCCCTCGGGGCTTGTTTCTGGAGTCTCGGCCATGCCCTCGTGTTTGTAACTTTCCTCAGAACTCAATGGGGCTTCCACTTCAGCAAGACTAGCATTGGGTGAGTCGACCAATGCTTCATGTTTCATGCTGTCAGAGCTGTCGTCAAATGCACTGTTCTCGGTACCATTATCAGGCAAAAGATCTCTGCCATGTTTTGACACGCTTGAGTGAGTGGACTCGCCACTCTTTTGCCTTGCTTTGGTATCTTCTTCAAAGTCTTTAGAGTGTTTTATATGTGGAGTAATTGTGACTTTTTCTTCAGGCTTTAAACCATCAGCAGACCCTTCTTCTTGTGAGGGTGCTCGGGGAAGACTTTGGGAGGGTTTACTCACTGTTGTGGAAGATCCTTTGTGCTCAAAGAGCCCAGACTTTCTTTTTGAGGGGTCTTGGCCAGTTTGAAATGCTCTCATTAGTTCTCTTACAGACATGGTTTCTTCTAGACTTCCAGGGTCAGGCTTTGATGACCTTGAAGGAGACCGTTTCTGGGGTGAAGAGGTTTGTTTTTTCAGGCCTGATGTTTTCTGGTCTTTGGCAATAGAAGATGGTTTTTGGGTTGTCTGTTTTTTATGACCTTTTTGTTCTTCCTCTACCTTCTTTTGAAGAGCCTTGACTTTCTCTTTAATCGAACCGATTGGCGTCTCTTCAACCACTGGTGATACAGGAGACTTTTTTTGGTCTCCAGGTACAGGTAGTAAGGCATCCCCTTCGGAAGACTTCTCTGCGCTCTTCTTGACGTTACTTTCTTTTGTGCTCATTGATTGGGTTTCTTCTGTGTGTCCTTGAGGCCCTTTTCTCCTTATTGGCTTTTTTACTTCTGTTGTATGGGCTTTAGTGTCTTTTGCCACTGTGGGGACTATTTTTCGACCACCTCTGCGCAGAACAACCTCAGTGAACCGTTGCTGTGATGGAGTTTCTTGACTCAATGTTCCAGGCACATCCAGTGAGTATTCCTTCACTTCGCCAGTGGAAACAGTGTCCATGCCCCTAGCACCCCTTGCTCTCTGCGATCCTCTGTTGACTCTAACTTCCTTTAGAAGCGATTCTTGAGATTCAAAGGCGGCCATCATTTTGGCCTCTTCAATTTCACTTTCTGTCAGGAGAACCCACCCCTCATCCTTCCTATAGGGACGACTCTCTGTTTTAGGAGATTCTTCCTTATCGAATGTTCCACTTCTCAGAATTTCACTAACTTTCTCCAAATCCTCTTTGACTTTTTCCATTATCTCAAAAGGCTCTGCTGACACCTCCTCCACCCCCTTATCTAAATAATCCCCTTGCATAGGACCCGCTTTCTCTGAGGAATCAGTGGTCAGAATAGCAGTCATTTTGATAAGGTCTTGCTTCATCTCTGACACTTCAGAGAGTAAATCTGGACTTGCAAGTGCAGGAGAGTCTCGGATCAAGTGTTTTTTCAGGAGTGACGTTTCAGTGTCTCCATCATCTTCCATTTGGATGATATTTAAGGAGCAAATTAACCAAAATTTAAATTAAAGGGACAGAGATTGGAAAAGGACATAAGGGATCAGTTCAGAGCTTCAAGGACCAGAAGACATCAAGATGACAAAACAAGGTAAGTGGAGTATGGGAGGATGAGTGGACAGTCTACTGGACTTATGGGGGAATAACAACTGCAAAGCAAATACTAACCAAATCTTAAGAATAAGCAGGAAACTTGTTTATCCACATCTGGTTCAACAGCGCACTCACACAAACAAAAAGACGAACTAAAGTGATATTTAAAAGGGAGACGAAAATAAGCCAACCCAAACACTGGGACATATAGTGAAAAACAGTAACACAAAGTAGACATGGCTCAATATTTATAACTCGTGTCTACAGAAGAAGAAACAAAAAAGAGAGAAAGAGAGAACTCAATAAAAATAAACTCATCAAAAACAAGTCTTTAATGTTTTTTTTATAAAGAAAGCCAGTGATATGCAACTAAAATTGAAATTCATCAAGGTGTTTTAGGATGTGAAAAAAACAACATGTGCTCATGTCATGGAGGCAGTGTAAAGACTCTGTTTGGGACTGATCAAGGGGGAATTTGCATATCATGATTAATAATTGATAATTAATAACTATTCAAACCGATTCAGATCAGACCGGTCTTACATGTTAATAAATCTCCCATTGAGGGAGGCTTCGTCAATTTTACCTGCATGCATGCATGTGTGTCTCTGCAATCAACCACAAATCTTTGTACCTATTTGCCCATTAAAGTTCATATAGTGAAGGGAACATATTACTAAGGTACTAAAATACACCTTTTATGAGTAGATTAGGTACATAGTTGTCCTTTTAAGGCTACTGCCCCAGTGACAAGCTCACGTTTTCAGAAAATAAAATATTGAAATTATTATTTTTCAATATTAGTAGTGGTAATGTAAACAATGTTAAACACAGATCAATACTGAAAAAATAATACACACAAGACAGCATTCAAATGTTAATTCCGTGGTAAATTTGGCAAACTTGTTAGTGTGTAGTAAGTTTGATGTAGTAATAGATTTGGATTCTAATTCTTACAGCATTATACCTGAATATAAGATTAATGTAAGAACTATACTTAGAGGTTACATTACATAGTGTGGTGATTTAAAGCAATAGTAAGCAAACTATGCAATGTTAAAATCCAACTGATGAAGCCACATATCTACAAAACAGGGTTTAATCACAGGTTTATATTATTAATGTTCTGTACATTCATAGATAAAGAGAGGGAATCCTCTTACTGGGCTGGCTTACAAGTACACTTTGTTTATGTGTAAAAATGCCGGGGCACCAACAAAAGGTACTAAGGAGAGAGATTACGACAGATTTGGATGGGAATGATAATTTGCTTTGCAGATTGTTATTGTGTTTAATGAAGGGAGTAGGGATCTAAAACAGTTGAAAACAAACATCACCACAGTATGAATGAAATTCACATTATGTGCAGACACATTCAAAAACTTTTTTTCTATCAAGATTCATAAACTGATCAGAATAAAACATTAATATATTTATATCAGGGGTATAACGGTACAAAAAAAGTCTTTCGTTTTGAAATAGTGTTTTAATCGCCGCACGTGCGGAACTACTTTATCAACGAAATTTCAAACTCAAACTAAATCAGAAAGCAACATGGCTTGTTGTTTTACATCGTACAATTGTATACTTATCTTACAGATTCACACAAATATTTACATTTTAAATAAAGGATTGTCCTGACAGCAAGCAAGACTTCAATGAACGAGCGCCTACACACAAGTCTCGAATTGACAGAACGGGACTGCAATAAATGGGACCGTCATTTTTGTGTACCGTTACACCCCTAATATATCAATAGTTAACTCACTCAGACACAAGTAAAATGTTAAAATCATGCTTTGTGAGTTATTTTACAGTGGTACATTCTCAGTTAGTAAGTTCAATGGAAAAGTGTCTGGTATAACAAAATATTTTAATTAATTTAACTCGATATCTTACATTTCTCAAGCGTTCGGCTCATCTGTAAAGGAAAAAAGGTGAAGAAAATTCAATTTTACACATGCACTGAATGAACAGATCCATATTTTTAGCTTAAAATTACTTTCTTTCTTCAAGCTATTTCACAGCAGGCTCAATATACAGTTATGAGAAAATATGTGTAAACCCTTTGAAATGATCTGCATTTCCTGCATGAATGGCTTCTAAAACAAACAAACAATTAAATAAACAAAGCCATTCATGAAACTGTAAGGGCTTTGAAACACATATTCTCTGTTCACACAACAGCTTATCTCTGTAATAATAATAATTAAACCTGGACAGAGTTTTGAAATGAGATAACGGAGGAAAGCAAAGGATCTTTTGTTAATTAAAGAGCAAAATCGCAGTTACCTCCTCATCAGGATCTTGTTCTGAATCTGATTCCTTTGAGGAGCAAGAAGCAGCAAAAGAGGACGAGAGATGGACAGAGGTGGAGGAGAGACAGAAGGGGACAGAAAGAGCAGGCTAAGCGGTTATCAGAGCTGAGGCCGGCCAGCGAGGCGTTCGGTGCAACAGAAACGCATAAAAATATGTTTTTAAAAAGGGAAACACATAAAAGGAAAAGATGACGCCTTCCAAATATCCACAGCAATAAGTTGTGTAATTGTTTCTTCAACTGTAAACCTTGCAGATATTGTGGTATAAAGCAATCATTGAATGTCAGAATGCATGCAAATCTGCCATAAAAGCGGACAACATAAAAATGGTTTTCGGACAATGCATTTTGCATGAACGTACCTTCGAGTAAGCTGGCAGGCTGATGTTCAGATTGCATATTGCACCGTGGGTCAGTGTCCTATAGGATCTGGGCTCTTTCGTGAAGGACAAGCGTCCACAAGGCTCTTGAGCGTTGTCTCGAATCTACAAGTGATTTGCCAAGTGTGCGGTTAAATGGCTGTATGGATCATCTTATAATTATTAAGATATATGAATGCAGATTTGACTCACTTTGATGAAAAGAGCCAGTCGGTTCTCTTTAAAGGCATAGAAGCTGAAGACATGATGCTGGCCACTTTTTGTTAGGGGGACCAGGTTTCCAAAGCAGTCAGCATATATTGGTTTTCCCTCTAATACCTAGAACGCAACCCATTCAATAATTTCAGTTCCACAGTGGAAATATTTCTCAATTATCAATAGAGCATCCAGGATGTCCACGTCTTTCTTTCCTCAGTGGAAAAGAAATGAAGGTTTTTGAGTAAAACATTCCAGGATTTTCTCCATATAATCAGGTTCAGGTTCAGGTTCAGGTTTATTGATATAGCCCATTTCATACACAGGTAGCCCAATGTGCTTTACACAATCATAGCAGTTAAGAAACAATTTACATACATCAATCACACACACAAATTCAAAAAATAAATAATCATAAATAATCATTACAAAAAATAAAAATATGTAGCTTAACAAGGAAATAAAAAGAGTCAGTAGAAAGCATCGTAAAAAAGTTTCGTTTTTAATCTAGATTTAAAAATAGAGATAGTGGGGGAGGTCTTAATGTCTACAGGAAGACGGTTCCAAAGACGGACCGCATAGCAGCTGAAGGCTGCTTCTCCCTGCTTGGTACGAGCGCTGCATTGTACTAGCTCGAGTTTACCAGCAGATCTAAGTGATCTTGAGGGGTATATTTTTTAAGCATATCTGCCATATATAGAGGTCCTTGACCATTTAGTGTTTTAAAAACAAGAAAAAGAACTTTAAAATCAATTCTATAAGTCACTGGTAACCAGTGTAGAGATTTAAAATTGGTGTGATATGATCCTTTCTTTTGGTCCTGGTCAGTAGCCTTGCTGCTGCATTTTGGATAATTTGAAGAGATTTTATTGTTTTTTTAGGGAGACCAGTGAAAAGACCATTACAATAGTCCACCCTACTGGAAATGAAAGCATGAATAAGCTTTTCTAAGTCTGCCGGTAATATGAAGTTTTTAACCTTTGCAATATTTTTTAAGTGATAAAAAGACGATTTTGTGACTGACTTCATGTGGCTATTGAAGCTTAAGTCGCTGTCAATAATGACCCCGAGGTTCTTCACAGTTTCCACTACCTTCAAAACCTTTCATTCCCAATAGTGTGGCAACCTTTAGTCTCTGATCCTTTTTCCCAAAGATAATTACTTGAGTTTTGTCTGTGTTTAATTTAAGGAGATTTCTTGACATCCAGTCTTGGACTTGATCAAGACAAAGATAAAGAGATTCAAGGGGAGCAAACTCATTAGGGGACAAGGATAGGTATAACTGTGTGTCATCTGCGTAGCTATGATAACTAATAGAATAATTTTTCATAATTTGGCCAAGTGGGAGCATGTATAGATTAAACAAAAGAGGGCCAAGGATTGAACCCTGAGGGACACCACATGTTAAGGACACTGGAGCTGAAGCATGATGACCAATAGAAACATAAAAACTCCTGTCTTCTAAATAGGACTTTAACCAGCAGATGACCGAGCCAGAGAGACCCACACAGCATTTAAGTCTTTCTACTAGTATGCTGTGATCGACAGTGTCGAACACCGCACTGAGGTCCAACAGCATAAGAACAGTGGTTTTTCCAGCATCATTATTTTGCCGAATGTCGTTAACTACTCTAATCAGAGCTGTTTCAGTGCTATGGTATTTTCTAAAACCTGACTGGTTGGGATCCAAACAGGAGGTTGAGGTTAAAAATGCAGACACTTGATTAAAAACAATTTTTTCAATTATTTTACCGATGAAAGGCAAATTTGATATGGGTCTGTAGTTGTTAAGAACAGACTCATCCAGGTTATTCTTTTTAAGTAAAGGCTTTACAACGGCTATTTTAAGGGAATTGGGAAATACGCCGTTCATAAGAGAAGTATTAATTATTAAAAGCACATCAGTTGCTATTAAATGAAGCACAGATTTAAAAAAACTAGTGGGTAAGATGTCCAGCTCAGATGTGGAAGAGCTTAGACTTTGTACAGTCTTTTCAAGAGTGTCAAGGTCAATAGGACTGAAATATGAAAAAGTGCTAAGCTGATCCCTTTGAGTTGGTAATTCAAAGTAAGAGATGCTATGTGACGTATATGAGATATTATGTCTTATGTTCTCTACTTTGCTCTTAAAAAAAGAAGCAAACTCATTGCACTTTTCAACTGAGAGTAGTTCAGGAGCCAGATGGGGGGAAGGGTTTGTTAACTTCTCAATGGTGGAAAAAAGCGCGCGGGAGTTATTTGCTTTACTGTTGATAATATTGGAAAAATGAGATTGTCTAGCTTTACAAATAACAGAATTATATTCACGAAGTGTCCCTTTATGAATCAGATAATCTGAATTAAGTTTGGATTTACGCCATTTCCTTTCTGTTCTCCTACATTCTTTCTTTTGCAGTTTAACTAGCGAATCATTCATCCATGGAGCTTTCTGTTTAGTGGATTTTTTCAGTTTTAAAGGAGCAATGTCATCCATTATATTAGTCATTTTTAAATTAAAATCTTCCAACAAGTTATCAGCAGTATTAGGAAGTGAGCTTTTGGACTCACAAAGTGTTTGCTCAAAAAGAACACAAGTTTTGTCATTTATAGCTCTTTTTCTGATCATAATAGAGTTATTCTGACAATATGGGAGCAAGCAGACTTCAAAGAAAATACAGCAGTGATCAGACAAAGCTAAATCCACTATAGATGTGGAAACAGTTACACCCTTTGTCATAACAAGATCGAGTGTATGGCCCTGAGAGTGAGTAGGGCTCTGTATATGTTGTGTCAGATTAAAAACATCGATCAGAGCCAAAAAGTCTCTTGCATGCATGTTATCAGAGTTATCTACATGGATGTTGAAATCACCTGATATAACAATACTATCAAAGTGAACACAGATTTCAGAGAGCAATTCACAGAAATCTTCAAGAAAAACTGCAACTGATAAAGTAGGAGGTCTATATACAGTTAACAATAGGGTTTTTGGACAGCTTTTAAGGACAGCAGAAAGATATTCAAAAGAAGCATAGTCACCATAGAATGACTGTTGACACTGAAATTCTTTTTTAAAAATTTTAGCTATTCCTCCCCCACGTCTATTTTCACGGTTGATGCTTATAAAGTTATAGTCGGGGGGAGAAGATTCAATAAGAATACTATTGCAGTTTACCGAATCTAGCCAAGTTTCAGTTAAAAATAAAAAATCAAGTTTATATGTGGAGATAAGATCGTTAATTAAAAAAGACTTTTTTATAAGTGACCTGATATTTAGCAGAGCAAGTTTTACCGTAGGAGATATACTTTTTTCCACAGGAACAGATGATTTCTTACAAATAAGAAGTAGATTAGATGGGTTTGGTCTGCGAGCCGAGTTGCATTTAGATCTATTCCCCTTTGCTATATTGGAACCAATTTGCACGGTAATAGGAGCCTGTAAGGACATAATAGGAGTATGCAGGTATAGATCTGATGAACATAGATCTATGCAGGGGGACAGTTCAGCAGGACCCTCATAATTACTATGCTTAGTGAAACAGGGAAGGGCTGTAGGAGGGTCAGGCTGAGCATTATGTCAGTCCATGCCAAAGGCGATATAGTTCACTAGGTTGGAGGTGAGCAGCTTGGTCCCTCTCCTATTCAGATGAAATCTGTCAGCATTAAAGAGGTCATGCCTAGTCCAAAAGGAGTCAAAATTAGGAATAAAATTAAATCCAGCAGCTACACAGAAGTGGCATAGCCATTGATGCAGTCCATAAAGACGACTAAAGTATTCAGAGCCCATAGAAGGGGAGGGGAGAGGACCAGATAGAATACAGCGTTTACCCAAGGATTCAATTTGAAAACGATAGTTCCTCGAGCTCTAAATGGAGTCTGGCTGATTGCCTATCCATAATGGACTTCAATGGGAACCAAACGGTTCAAGGTCCAAAAGACAGTTGCAGTGCAAACTGTTCAAAGGGCTTCAAACGATTCCAGACGATGAATAAGGGTCTTATCAAGCAAAACGAGCTATTTAAGAATTTATTTATTCACCCCTAAATAAATAAAAAAGTTTAACTTTTATAAGCATAAATGCTGGCCCTGATCTGTTCTGTGATGCGCGTTCGTTGTCAAAATGAACAAATCTTTTTTCGAGTCATTTTTGAAATGGCCGCTCGTTTCGCTTGATAAGACGCATCGTCTGGAGTCGTTTAAAGCCCTTTGAACAGTTTGCACTGAAACTGTCTTTTGG